GTGCTTGACAAGACTGGAGTTCTGCTTGAAGCCCTTCCCGCAGTCGGTGCCTCTCCCCTGTGTGTGTCTGCTCATGCCTGAGGACATCTGAGCTGGTCTGAAACCTCTCCCCACATTCCAAGCACTTGTAGGGCCGTCCCCCACTGTGGATGTGCTGATGTTGGATCAGGGTGGAGCTGTCACTGAAGCTCTTCCCACACTCCCCACACGTGTAGGGCGGTTCCCCAGAGCATTGTGTCAGACTGTAGAGAATACGTAGAGAACAGTCCAGAGAGGGACTGTGCCCAGCGGCTCCTGCCTGGACTAATGAGTCACTGCTTGTAAACTGTGCCGGGGACCGGAAAGAAAAGCAGCAGCGCGGTAGCTCCAGCCCCGGGATGGCAGGATCGCATCTGTCATTCGATCCAAAAATGGTTTGGGACGGGAGGGACCTTCAAGCCCATCCCATCCCCCCGCTGCCCCGGACACCTCGCGGCAGCCCCGCTGGCTCCAAGCCCGGTCCCACCTGGCCGGGAACACTCCCGGGGACGGGGCAGCCAACTCTGTCCGACCGGGAGGCACCGGGACGATCCCCGACGGGGGCGCAGGGTTGGGTACAGGGACAGCCCCGCCGGCCCGGTCAGTGGCTCCCCGCGGTGCTCCCTCCCCGCCCCCGCGGCCGATGCGGCGCGATGAGCGATCGGGCTGCGCGGGGCCGGCGCTGAAGCCTCACCGAGAGCCACCGGGGGCGGCCGCTCGAAACACTTCACCCCCAGCGTCCGCCAGAGCCCCCTCCCCAGCACCGCCGGCACTCTCCACCCAGGGCAAGGCGAACCCGCCAGACCCCCCTTTTCGCCCCCTCCCGAGCCCCGGCAGCACCGAGCGCATCCCACCTGCCCCTGGACCGCCGCCGACCGCCCGGCTCCGCCCCTCCGCCCAGCTCCGCCCCTCCGCGGGCGCCGGCCGGTTCCAGAGGGGGACCACGGGAGGGGCGGGGGGACGAGGAGGAACGCGGGGACACGGGGGTGACCCGGGGATGCGGCGTGATGAACGATCGGGCTGCGCGGGGCCGGCGCTGAAGCCTCAGCGAGAGCCACCGGGAGCCGCCGCTCGAAACACTTCACCCCCAGCGTCCGCCAGAGCCTGCCAGAGCCCGCTCCCAGCACCGCTGGCACTCCCCCGGCCCAGGGCAGGGCGAACCCGCCAGATCCCCCCTTTTCGCCCCCTCCCGCTCCCCGAGCCCCGGCACCACCGAGCGGATCCCACCTGCGCCTGGACCACACGCGCCCTTCCCGCCCGGCTCCGCCGCTTGTCACCGACGCCGCCGGCTGCCTCCGCCGGTTGGTCGCTGCACAGGGGGAACACGGGAGAGGCGGGGGGACGGGGAGGAACACGGGGACGACCCAGGGATGCGGCGCGATGAGGAATCGGGCTGCGCGGGGCCGGCGCTGAAGCCTCACCGGGAGCCACCGCTCGAGACACTTCACCCCCAGCGTCCGCCAGAGACTCCTCCCCAGAACCGCCGACACTCTCCACCCAGGGCAAGGCGAACCCGCCAGACCCCACTTTTCGCCCCCTCCCGCTGCCCGAGCCCCGGCAGCACCGAGCGCATCCCACCTGCGCCTGGACCGCCGCCGACCGCCCGGCTCCGTCCCCCCGCCTGCCCCGGCGGAGGGAGGGACCGCCCACCAGCCCGGCTCCGCCCCTCCGCCCGGCTCCGCCCCTCCACCCGGCTCCGCCCCTCCGCCCGGCTCCGCCCCTCCGCCCGGCTCCGC